GTCAACTGCACCACCCAGCTTGGTGTCATCATTTTGATGAAAAATACATGTTCCAAATTTGTAACAAATTCAAAGCTCGAATAGGAAATATCTATTTACAATGAGCTACTAATACTACTTATTCTCAGCAAAAAGTCTTACTTACCATGTGCAAAAGTTCTCCTAAAAGGATAGTTGCTCTAACAGATACATGATCATCACTACTTGTGATCACTTCAACCAGACCCTTCAAAAAAGTTAAAAGATTATTACATTTAATGTATAAATACTTAATTTTAATGTTTATAGAAAAAAAAGTAGCAAGCATCTATTTAAAGTTCAAGACGTTAGTTACCTCTAGAAGTCCATTAGTAATAAAAGCTGAAAGCACTAAAGCCAAATAATTATCCATGAGATCAGGCCTAAGGAGAAAAAAGTATGGAAGTAGTTTAGAAAGTACAATTCTTATTGTGTCTGCGAGAAAACAACAAATATTTTTGTTAACAACAAGAGAACACTAAGCCAAGAGTTTAGACTGAGTTTGCAAAATGGTCACCTTGACCTGGCTCGATGTGGTAGTATAGTTTTAGCTTCAGCAGCTACAAAGCCATCAGAAAGCCTCCAGCAGTCCTGAAACCTGCTTGGATCTATAACAAGAAAATACGGACAATGTTAATTATAACAGTGGTTTTCACAGTATTATTTAATAGGTGTCAGTACATAAATAAAAGTTCTTATTAACTGTAATTTCAGGTTTAAAATTATAGAAAATTTTGTCAGAAGGGTTTTCTAACAAGTTATCTAATTCATACTCCTGCGCAAAGCAAGGCTAACTTCAAAGCTAGGACAAAGATCTCCTTTAAGTATCAACCAAAATAATGAAACTTCTAATTCATCAACACATTAAAATTGTTTAACAGAAAATATCATAAACAGTTAAAATTCTGAACTGTACATCTATATGTCACAAAGTAGCAAGTTTGCAACAAAGAATAATTTATTTACTTATAGGTGCAGAACAAGAATTAAGCTTGATTATACAGCTGCATGACATAGACATTTATAATCAGAGTTTGAAGAAGAGAACTGCTGGAACATTCAAGACTGAGACTTGCTCCTTTTGGGCTCATACTTTTGCACTGCGAGACAAAGCAGAAGATACCCTTGGGTTTACAAAGGATTATTTCTAAAGATAAAAGACTAACTCTGCTAAATATATAGACATGAAAACACATACACTTGCCCTAGGAAAAGTAAAAGTCTGCTGAAGTGCAGTGGAGATAGCTAGTAGATACACAGTATATAGAAAAGACCCTTTTTCATATCTTCTCTAACATTCACCAACACTTCTACATTAATAATGCTTCTAACACTTCAAAGTAGTCTAATTTGTAGTAATGTATTTACACAGTCTTTTGTGCAAATGCTCCACTACTGCTTTTGTATGAAACATACAACTGATATATAGTAAGGATGTCAGAAGAAAGTTAGACTTCTAGTAGCTTGATCAACACTGAACAGTTGATAAAAAGTTTTAAACAGGACTTCAGAACACCCAATGAATCCAGTGATGAAACAGTTAAGACTGACATAATTTACAATACAGAGGAAACAGTGAAGGGTTCAAATTTGTAGAAGAGCTTAATAGAAAGAATTTTTATGTGAACCAGTACTAAAATACTCACCTACACTGAGAAGTGCCTCAATAAATTCTTCTACAACAACAGGGAGAGGAAGGCGAAATATATCATAAAGAACCTCAAGCAGACCTTGCTATGAAAAAAAAAAGGCAGAAATTTTATAATTTATAAGAAATAGTCTTTTTGCTCACTATTAATACTGAAGTTGAGTTGGTGTCTTTCTTTCAGGGTTTCTTTTAGGATAACATGCTTATTTTTCATAATCTGAATGAATCTGGAGAAGAGAAGGGAAGGGACTTGCTTACTTTAGAAGTATGCCTGACTGTCATTATGAATTCTACAGAAGCTCTAGCTACTTGGATTACAGTTTTTTAGAACAGTTACTACTGTCACCATCAACTTCTTCACTTTGCAGGTAATTGGGAAGAAACATTTTTATTTCTCTCAGATTCAATGCTTTAAACTCATAACTGCAGCTACTGTGAATTTGCTTTGTCTTGTGGCCAGAGTAAAAATTAATTTATGTACTTCTCTTTCCTCCATACCCTCCTCTCAGACATACAGGGTGTGATTCCATTTTCATTTTATGTGTAAGGAGCTGAGACAGAAAAAGCAAGCATCTTGCTTAAGGTCACACAGGAATTTTATAATGGAATTATAGACTTAGACTTGGGGAATCAAATAAATTCGAGGCTAGTAGTCTCATAATTGGAGTCTGTGTTTAAACCACTAAACTGATAAAACTGTTAAAATTTTAAATATTAATTAAAACATCCAATATTATCCCTATAGCAGTACTAAATATTTACCACCTACCCGTATTTCCATATTTGGTATACAGAGTACCCCAATAAGAGACCGAATCCCAGAATTTCCAGGTTTGCACAGACTGATAATACCTAGAAAACATTAAATACATAATAATATTCCATCATCAAACAAAATAAAAGCATTAGACACACTGTTAAATTTGATTTCCAGTTTGAGTACACACAGATGATAAAAATTACTAATCATAAACATTTTTTACTTTTATAATGTCCTCTCCTTTCTAATCAATGTTTAACAAAGCTTTCTAATCACAAAACTGTTTCTTCATTGAAAACTATAGCTATTTTTACCCTTTCTACTCTGAACAGTATTCTCAAATTATCTGCAAAACCAGATTGAATCATAGAATAGTTTGGGTTGGAAGAGACCTTTAAAGTTCATCTAATCCACCCCCCCTGCAGTGAGCAGAGACATCCTCAACTAGATCAGGTTGCTCAGAGCCGCAGCCAACCTGACCTTTAATGTTTCCAGGGATTGGGCTGCTACCATCTCTCTGGGCAACCTGTGCCAGTGTTTCACCACTCTTATTGTAAAAAATTTCTTCCTTCTTTTCAACTCAGTTGATTTTACTTTGTATAAAATCTCTCATAATTTTGGTCCTTCTACACTATATTTTACTCAATTAATTTAACATTTCAATATTAATAGGACAAACCCTCAAACTGCTTATAAATGTTACAGAATACCTCCTGAAGCTAATGATTACTCTGATTTTCAGCCTCAAATTACATACAGTCTCTTCACCCAAATTGTGGCTGAAAAACTTTTGCTCATTTCCTTGACCATTTATCTTCATACATCATGGCATAAATTAAAACTTACAGTAACATGCTATCTGGAAAACAAACAAGTTTCTCCAAAATGCAACTTTAAATGAACAAAAAGACAGGTATGCACACCTTTCTCTTATATATTATAAACAAATCCAAATCTTCATTCAATAAAAAATACTAACAGACGAAAAGTATCACCTACTCATCTATATATTTTCACTAATACAAATTTAACTTCAATGACATGTGCTTTATATTAATTTAAGAGAAAGACCTCAAATACAAAACTGCCAAGTCACAAAAAATTATAACAAACACATGTGGCCACAAACACATTAATGAAATTAAGTATGTTCCACAGTGCACCTCAGAGATCTTTTTTTTGTTTTTTATTCCCCAAGAACATATAATGGCCTGTGGTGAGTTGACCTTAGCTGGCTACCAGGTGCCTACCAAGCCACTCTAACTATCATTTACCCTCCTCAAAATGACAAGGGGAAAGAAAATATAATGAAAAGTTCATGGGTCAAGATAAGGACAGGGAGATCACTCACCAATTACTGTCATGGGCAAAACAGACTCAACTCGGGGAAATGAATTTAATTTATTACTAATCAAATCAGAGAAGGGTAAGGAAAATTAAACCGAATCTTAAAAATAACTTCCCCCCACCCTTCCCTTCTTCGAGGGTTCAACTTCACTCCTGATTTCTCTACCTCCTCCTCGTCACGTGTGGAACAGAGGGACAGGGAATGGGAGTTGCAGTCAGTTCATCACACGGGGAAATGAATTTAATTTATTACTAATCAAATCAGAGAAGGGTAAGGAAAATTAAACCGAATCTTAAAAATAACTTCCCCCCACCCTTCCCTTCTTCGAGGGTTCAACTTCACTCCTGATTTCTCTACCTCCTCCTCGTCACGTGTGGAACAGAGGGACAGGGAATGGGAGTTGCAGTCAGTTCATCACACATCATCTCTGCCACTCAATCCTCACTCTCCTCCACCTGCTCCAGCATGGGGTCCCTCCCATGGGAGACAGTCCTCCACAAACTTCTCCAACATGGCAGTTCTTCATGAACTGTTCCAGTATGGGTCCTTTCCACAGGGTGCAGTCCTTTAGGAACAGACTGCTCCAAAATGGGTCCCCCACTGGGTCACAAGTCCTGCCAAAAAACCTGCTCCAGTATGGGCTCCTCTTTCCACAGGGTCCTGCCTGGAGCTTCCTCCAGCGTGTGCTTCACACAGGGTCACAGCCTCCTTCGGGTGCGTACAACTGCTCTGGCGTGGGGTCCTCCACAGGCTGCAGATGGAAATCTGCTCAACCGTGGACATCCATGAGCTGTAGAGGGACAGTCTGCCTCACCATGGCCTTCAATACAGGCTGGGGGGCTCTGCCCTTGCGC